TGAAACAACACCCATAAAACATCTGCAACAGCAGGTTCAGCGTGAATGATAAATGCCCATTGTTCAATTATGCGTGACATGTGCCTTTTAAAATATGTCGGAAATTGATGAAATAACGTATTTTGGTTGGAACCTCCCTTTGAGAGGAAGAAATCTTAATGAAATCACCTATGATGATGTCGTACTCAACATGTTACCGAAAGTATGTAAATAGCGGAGAACAATATGTAAATATGTAATGTTTGTAATATTCTAAATCTTCTTCACATTTTTATATCAAAACTCCTAAATAATTCATTTTTAAAATGTGTGCCTCATAATTTATTTATTTTTTTTTTAACTAGAGAGAATCTTAAATTTTCAAGACCAAAAGGATGTGTGAAAACGTCATGTGTTTGAAAAAAAAAAAGAAAAGAAAATCTTAATGTCTGCAGAATAAGCATATACATACATATACAAATAAACTTGTATTTCTATCTACTCTATTCTTTCGTTGCAAAATACATCTCTGGCTTAGTTTATACCTCATAATGTAGGAAGATAAATGAATATTTTCACAATGTTCCAAACTCGCATTGAACTCAATCCACCTAAAATAAACAGAAATAACTTTTATGGGGTTTGATAAACTATGGATTTTCAAACTAACACTTTCAATCAATACAAATATGATTTTGACGATAATACTTTTGTAATATTCATAACATACATATTTTTTTTTATAAAAGCAAAGGTTATACCTCTTCCGTCAAAACAGACGCTAAATTTTAGCGTCATCTATTGACGTCGCCGCAAACTAGCGGTCTCAGGTCGGTGACAAACCAAAATGTCTTGTTTTGATGGGAAGCTAGCTTTACTTTTATAGATAATTTTCCTCCCGGCAAAATATCCACAAAGAGTTTAGTTGTCACCGATATTACATTAGAAGGTCTGAGATTCATCAAACCAATAGACTGAGATAATGGTTAATATCGTATTTTTACAAACTCTACCAAACATTGATTTTATTTAGATTTAAATTCATAGTTTAGCTAAACAATATGTGTGTATAATAGATTTTTCGATTTAACATGAGCTTTCTAGTACAGTTTTCAAAATTGTAAAAATCTATTGAATTAGTATAGAACAAACTCGCGCGGCGCGTACTATATATATAAAAATGCAATGAATGAATGTGTGTGAATATATTTATTATTTAATCAATATAAGATAATTTCTATATAAAAATCATAACGAGATGGTCAGAAACAAATTTGTAATTTTAGAAGTTTACTAGAAAAAAGGATCTCATTTAGAATTGAGGGTTACTTGAATGGACTTAACGAGAGGAAGTATAGCTGCTCAGTGGAGTGAACTTAGGTAGAAAGAGCCAAGAAACAAAGAGAGCCATGTACTCACTGTGAGCTTCATGTCGATATGGCACCGTCCACCACGGCCGGCTTATATACCGGGGCCAGAGGTCACCTGGTGGGTGACACCCTGTCAAGGCCGCCAGCTCCACCTTTGTCATAGCAACCTCCATTAACAGAGATGTTAGTAGTGCTCTGTTGTCATAGCAACCTCCATTCACAGAGATGTTAGCAGTGCTCTGTTGTCATAGCAACCTCCATTCACAGAGATGTTAGTAGTACTCTGTTGTCATAGCAACCTCCATTAACAGAGATGTTAGTAGTGCTCTGTTGTTATAGCAACCTCCATTCACAGAGATGTTAGTAGTACTCTGTTGTCATAGCAACCTCCATTAACAGAGATGTTAGTAGTGCTCTGTTGTTATAGCAACCTCCATTAACAGAGATGTTAGTAGTACTCTGTTGTCATAGCAACCTCCATTAACAGAGATGTTAGTAGTGCTCTGTTGTTATAGCAACCTCCATTAACATAGATGTTAGTAGTGCTCTGTTGTCATAGCAACCTCAATTAACAGAGATGTTAGCAGTGCTCTGTTGTCATAGCAACCTCCATTAACAGAGATGTTAGTAGTGCTCTGTTGTCATAGCAACCTCCATTAACAGAGATGTTAGCAGTGCTCTGTTGTCATAGCAACCTCCATTAACAGAGATGTTAGTAGTGCTCTGTTGTCATAGCAACCTCCATTAACAGAGATGTTAGTAGTGTTCTGTTGTCATAGCTACCTCTATCAACAGAGATGTTAGCAGTGCTCTGTGACCATAGCAACTTCCATTATCAGGTCTTCTATTATTTTTAACTGTTTGATGAGTATATTTTCCTGGTTATATGTATGTCAGACAAAGGATACCAAGTTGTGGTCATTGATATTTCTGACCACCACATCGAGAATCTATCCGATGAATCCATTTTTACACCTATAGCACACTCAGACAAGAACTTTAAGTATTTGACTTTCGAAAAAGCTCTCTTTACATTTTTTATAATCGTATAATTGATAGTGAAGAATTCAAAACCTTTTCTTTCAACCTTAATTCCTATCCATATATTCACAGGCTTTTCAGAATCCACAAACCCCAGATTCCGTTACGTCCTATCATTGCCTACTATCTATCCCCGGCCGCACCCCTCTCGAGGATTTTGACGTCCTTTTACAGTCCGTTAATCCACGAAAAAGCCAATTGCTTCTCTATATCAGGAATTCCAACTTTCTTAGATAAAACAGGCATTATATCTTCTGTCCACGACCATGTTACGTGCTCTTTCGACGTTGTCTTGTTATACATGTGCCTGTCTCATTCCCTCATTATAGATAGTGTCACAGAATCTTTAACAGATATGTACCTAGACCCCAGCATAATCGACAAGATAGTACAACTTATAAAAATATGCCTAGTAATGAATATATTTTCATTTGATAATCACTATTTCCAACAGATTCGAGGCTCTCCAATGGGCAGCTCTTTATCAAACATTGTAGCAGAATTATTCAGTTCTGTATTGATAGATGGATCATTCTTCAACACCAATCCAACATTTTTCTGTGGTGGAGATACATCGATGATGTTTTATGCATCTGCTTGCACCACCATGAAAACTTTATTTTAAAAACCTTGGTATCTTTCACCCTGAAATATATTTCACATTAGAAAATGATCATAATGGCGTCTCCTTCCATTTCTAGATATATTAGTTGTAAATACCCCTTCCTGATACCACACAGCAGTCTTCTATAAAAAGATCCATTAGACTTCCTTTTGCCCTCATCCATAAGATCAACGTTGTCCGAATCCTCAATAAACATCTTCACACACATTGTTCCTTACCACTCTTCAAAGAATTAAAATGAACCAACATCGTTCATCGCCTCAGGTCATATCTGGATACCCGATATAATTTATTAACAGATACAGTTTTAACCCTAATTTCCTCGCATCCCTACTATCTATAAATCATATCGTGTTATTCCATATTCTTCTGGCTACAATTCTATATTTTGAAAAATCCGAAAATTTGGTATCGCCACTTTCTTTTCCAATTCCCCCAACCTAGGCACAAAACTCAGGAATCCTATAACAACCACCACTTACGACATCTTATCCGAAACCAACGCCGTTTACTCAATTCAATCCTCTCAATACAACGCTGTTTATGTAGGTGGAACCACAATAGGCATCCGTATAACAGAACATCATGTGTCAGAAAGCGAGTAAATGATCTCAAATCTTTCAACATGTTAATTCCACAGACACTCATTTAACTTTGACCAAGCCTAACTATGTAAATATCAAAAACAAACACCTAATATTGAAGCAATAATATATAAAAACTTAATATCATTATTGGAAGCATCAAACACTCTCAGACCAATATTTTTCCTTCATAATTTAACACATAATTCATATTTTAATACATACCTCTCTCGCTTTTGGATACAGTCTTCATTGATTTTATTTACATATCAAAATAGTCCCTCTAGTAAAAATTTACTCAATACTTGATCTTTTATTTATTGAGGTTTTTCATATATATATTCTTGATTTATCAAGAAATTGGGTTGGTCAAATATCAGGTAACAGGCTAAATCAATGCTTAGTTGATTTCTGTTCCACTAGATGGTGCTCTGCCCTCTGAAAAGCACATGTACTTTTGGTCAGGATATGACTTCTTTATTTTTAATATCAACACCTGACCTTTTTATTATTTATTTTTTCTATTGTTTTCTCATGTGTTAAGCGTATTTACACAAGTTTGGCTTTAAATACCCATTTCTTGGTTTCTCAAAAATCCTCTGGGACCAAAAATATTTTGGTCGCAGTAGGACAGCCTGCTCCACGCTGACGAAGGCAAACAGCACGAAACGCGTTCGTGGATGGCTTTTCTTGATTTATCAAGAAATTGGGTTGGCCAAATATCAGGGAACAGGTTAAATCAATGTTTAGTTGAGCACAAGTGCTTTTGGTCAGGATATGCCTTATTTACTTTTAATATATACATCTAAATATGCATATATATTTTCTGTTGTTCATATTTCTTTAGAAGAAAAGCTTTCAATATTTGTCTACGTATCCAGATATCTATTTATAACTAATTATTCTATTATACGTTTTTATATATTTTTATTCCTGTCGAAAGGACGATAAATGCTCGAAAGCTCTATAAAAAACAAGAAATTCTTCACCTCACGATTTTGTTATTTTTTTAATGATTAACAGAGATTTTGGAAGACCTCCTGATGCCATAGCAACCTCTATTAATAGAGATGCTAGCAATGCTCTGTGGCCATAGCACCCTCCGTTAACAGAGATGTTAGTAGTGCTCTGTTACTATACCAACCTCCATTAACAGAGATGTTAATAGTGCTCTGTGACCATAGCAACCTCCATTAACAGAGATTTTCAGTACTTTGTGGCCATAGCAATCTTCATTAACAGAGATACTTATAAATGACTGCGGCGTATAATTATAAAGCTATACAACCAGTTTAACCGCATAAGTTTCTTTTTATTTATGAAAAATCATTTTTAATTTCAAAGAGAAATAATTTAATATTTCTAACTTTTGGATGACGTATGAAAAGGTTGAATATATGAAGAGTGATGGTCTATATATGAATGGATGACGTATGGACATGGCACCTGCCCGGTAAGCAGAAGGTTGTGGGTTCGATTCCCGCTCCTGGACACTTTTATTTTTCCGTTCGCCATTACTCTTCATATTTTTTCACCCTCCATACGTCATCCATTCATATATAGACCATCACTCTTCATATATTCAACCTTTTCATACGTCATCCAAAAGTTAGAAATATTAAATTATTTCTCTTTGAAATTAAAAATGATTTTTCATAAATAAAAAGAAACTTATGCGGTTAAACTGGTTGTATAGCTTTATAATTATACGCCTCAGTCATTTATAAGTATTATTAGTCAGTTTAAATATTAGTTACGAACGGAGAAATATCGTCCAGGATAGCCTAGTGGACATGGCACCTGCCCGGTAAGCAGAAGGTTGTGGGTTCGATTCCCGCTCCTGGACACTTTTATTTTTCCGTTCGCCATTACTCTTCATATTTTTCACCCTCCATACGTCATCCATTCATATATAGACCATCACTCTTCATATATTCAACCTTTTCATACGTCATCCAAAAGTTAGAAATATTAAATTATTTCTCTTTGAAATTAAAAATGATTTTTCATAAATAAAAAGAAACTTATGCGGTTAAACTGGTTGTATAGCTTTATAATTAACAGAGATGTTGTCAGTGCCCTGTTCGATGAGCCAGGCCCTCCCTACAATTTGTGCATTTTCCTTCCAATAATTATATAGGAAATTATTTTATATTATGATTATAAAAAAAAACAGTTGAAACCATTAGGGATTTTATTTTTTACATGTTTAATTGCACTTTTTGTGATACCCTCAAAGAAGGGTCAATTTGTTTATAGTTCCAGATAGAGTTCACATACGTATATAAACTGCAATAAAAATATTGAATATTAGTTGAATGTGAAAAGTGAAGTTAGACTTCTGCAAAATTTGCATACAAACCACGATTTTTATTTACACATTGCACGTTATTTATAAATACCTATTATTTATTTACTATTTCTTTTTAGCGCCAAAAGCGCGAAACGCGTTCGTGGATGGCTTTTCTTGATTTATCAAGAAATTGGGTTGGCCAAATATCAGGTAACAGGTTAAATCAATGTGTGGTTGATTTCTGTTCCACTAGATGGCGCTCTGCACATGTGCTTTTAGTCAGGATATGCCTTCTTTATTTTTAATTTCTTTTTATTTACACGCTTTATATATTAACAATTTATTTTTACCCTCTAATAAAAGCATTTATTAATGCGTTATTCATCAACATATTTATATTATAAAATATGAAAATTCTTGAATAGAAGGATAAAATTGGAATCTAAAAGGTAATAGCAGAAAATTCTCTAAATATTTAATTACATTTCAAAACCTAAAAAACAAAAAACTACTGTGTGGATAATATTTGGAGATAATTTACCAATTCTCCTCCATAAATCAATAGTACATGCGATGACTTGACTTAGAAATTACTTTGTGTGGTGTTTTGTCCAGTACTTTCTTAGATATATTGGGACATTCACTTTTTGTGTCACACAAGGGACGTGACAGGAGTCTCCTACCTAACACGACAGGTTTTATCGCTAATTGACGTTTTAATTGTGGCCATCTTCATTAGGAACTGGTCGAACTTTCTGTTCTTCCCTAGGAAGATGAATTCGGGTATTTTTTCCTCTCTCAGCGGCTTCTTCTATCTCGACTGGTCGGTTATTGGCTTAAAAGGAGAATTGCTTAAACTTGTAGAAAATGTTGTAGCCAGATTTTGATGGCATGACAAAAATTCTCCGTGGAATATGAAACTTATTTTTCCATCGCAGAAAAAAAAAACAGTAGGACGTTTTTTTAATCTGAAAAAACACGTGCTAAATATTTTCAAACATACACAAAACTTTATTAAGACCACCGGTCTTATAATATTTTCAAATATCATGTATAGATGACGCGCTAATTCCTTATATTTTATAGCATATACACTCGACACTACATTGAATACCTAACTGAAGGTAAAAAATATTTAGGTTTTAAATCCGGTATATAGAATAACCTTCAACATCAGAGCTACATTCTGTTACATTTTACGTCGCCAATTTTCACAATCTCCTGCCAGTCTCTGAGTTTGCGAAATGGTGTGATATTGGGTTCCATATTTATAATATTGTGTGTGTAATAATAAAAACCCATTTACATATATTTACTTATATATACATATATTGATTAGCTATAATGGCCCGGATTTGTTAGTCTTCCCTGCCTGAGTTAATGTTTACCCAACAAATAATGTGTGTTTCAACAGAGATTTATAATTAGAAACATTGGTTGAAGTAGTGTCAATAATGGAACGAAAGCAATTTATTGTTGGAATATTTTTATTTTCGACCCAACAAATACAAGTTATATAAACAAAAATAGCATAGGATTGTAGTGGATCACGTGGTGACATTTAGAAACAGACATCTGCCTTTTCTTCTTGAGAATATAAAAATGAGTGATATATATATATTTTTTTAAGTTTTTATAAATTTTATATAATATGTCTTATATACAATTATAGAGTTTAAAAATCCATATTCTTATCAAAACTTTAAAAAGATTGGAATATAAAACGAAAACAGAGTCTAATTCAAAGCTACTATTAAATCTTGAAAAGATAGGTATTTAATATATAAATGGCAATAGTCTTTTTGAATATTCAATCAAATTGTGAGAAAACCCCTTATAATATCACAATAATGCTTTTATTTTATATATTTGTGTGAGTGTATGTAATAAATTGATTTTAAAAGAATATTTAAAAGCGCCAATATGCAAATAAGACAGCAGACAAATGGGAAAAAGCAGCTTGAAGCCTGATGTGTTTCTATTTTAGCCTTACAGCCTTACTTGGAAAAAAATAACTTTGAAAACAGGATTTAAAAAAAAAACGGACAAATTCCCATTCTCACCCCGATATAGAAGCCATTATAAATTACTAAACAAAAGAGATGAGCCGTCGAAAATTTCCAGATTGAAGATTGGATACGTCAAGTGTTACATCCAACACACCAAGTTAACCCTCACCAACTACAGCAGTCCCCTATAGATCACCAATTGTATCCACCAAACTGGATATTTGGAACAATACAGGGAACCCAATTAAGCTATTATAAGGTTACAGGCTAATGGAGTTGGCTCTAATTATTATTTGCTAGAGCTATTGTATTGGGATAAGAAATACACGACAAAAGAAAGAAAAATCTCAACTAAACGTTTTGTAAAATGAATCATTGTACAGGCGAAGGTTTTAATAGTCAAAAGAGAGAAGAATCAAAAGTCACGCAAGATTATGATTTAAAAAAGAGGTATTTATTATACATAAATTACAGAGGGGAGCAGAGCTACATAAAGTATTGTAGGGTGTGGGGTTTATCACCAGCCGTGGTGGCCCTTGCCCCAACCGCCCCAACCACCGCCGTAGCCTCCGAGACCGCCGTAGCCCCAACCGCCATGACCGCCATAGCCGCGGCCCCAGCCTCCGTAGCCTCCAAGACCGCCGTATCCCCAGCCTCCGTGGCCACCATAGCCTCCGTAGCCTCCGAGACCTCCGTAGCCCCAGCCGCCATGTCCGCCATAGCCGCGGCCCCAACCGCCATAGCCTCCATAGCCTCCCCATCCTCCGTAGCCTCCCCAGTGTCCGGCCTTCTGGTTGTCCACGCTGTAGACCACGGCAGCGTCCTTGGTGACATGGCCGTGGTAGACGGCGGCGCCCAGGGCGAACACGGCCAACAGGCAAGCGGCAGCAAGCTGGAGAAACCACAGTACCACACTCAGAACATCAGTTGGAAACAACACCCATGAAACATCTGCAACAGCAGGTTCAGCGTGAATGATAAATGCCCATTGTTCAATTATGCGTGACATGTGCCTTTTAAAATATCTCGGAAATTGATGAAATAAAGTATTTTGGTTGGAACTTCCCTTTGAGAGGAAGAAATCTTAATGAAATCACCTATGATGATGTCGTACTCAACATGTTACCGAAAGTATGTAAATAGCGGAGAACAATATGTAAATATGTAATGTTTGTAATATTCTAAATCTTCTTCACATTTTTATATCAAAACTCCTAAATAATTCATTTTTAAAATGTGTGCATCATAATTTATTATTTTTTTTTAACTAGAGAGAATCTTAAATTTTCAAGACCAAAAGGATGTGTGTGTGAAAACGTCATGTGTTTGAAAAAAAAAAAAAGAAAAGAAAATCTTAATGTCTGCAGAATAAGCATATACATACATATACATATACACTTGTAACATGAATCATGAAAATTTCTCTTATAGAATTGTAAATAGTTATAAAACGAAGAGAAAATATTTTGGTTGGCATTTTAATAAAAAAAAAATTTTTTCTCTTCGTTTTATAACTATTTACATATACACTTGTATTTCTATCTACTCAATTCTTTCGTTGTAAAATACATCTCTCTGGCTTAGTTTCTACCTCATAACGTAGGAAGATAAATGAATATTTCCACAATGTTCCAAACTCGCATTGAACTCAATCCACCTAAAAAAAAAACAGTAATAACTTTTATGGGGTTTGATAAACTAAAAAAGGATTTTCAAACTAACACTTTCAATCTTTACAATTATGATTTTGACGATAATACTTTTGTAATATTTATAACATACACATTTTATAAAATAAAAGGTTACCTCTTCCGTGTAAACAGACACTAAACCTTAGCGTCATCTATTGACGTCGCCGCAAACTAGCGGTCTCAGGTCGGTGACAAACCAAAATATGTTTTGATGGGAAGCTACCTTTACTTTTATAGATAAATTTTCTCCAGGAAAAAAATCTACAAAGAGTTTAGTCGTCACCGAGATTACATTAGAAAGTCTGAGATTCATCAAACCAATAGACTGAGATAATGGTGAATATCGCATTTTGACAAACTCTATCAAACATTGATTTTAATTAGATTTTATCTATCTACATTTCCTTAAGAAATTGTTAAGAATGATTTCCCAGTTTTTAAATTTTTTTGGTAATTCTCTTAGATTTAAATTCATAGTTCAGCTAAACAATATGTGTGTATAATA